CTTCCACTTTCCATTAAAAAACATCTTTACTCTTACTTTTTCATACCCTGCCTATCACATCATACTTTTTCTCTAATAATACTTTGGAACAGAGAAAAAACTCCCTATATCTAAAATGAACTTTAAATATTTTTTTTTATTTTTCTTACTTTTTCCAATACTTTCCATTTTAAGTATGTAATGAATTCGTACTAAATCTTTAAGGAGAAAGTGCTTTACGAGGAGGTGTTAATTCCGGTACATGATTTTATTCAAATGCTAAGTTGCACGTTGGCTAAATTAAACAATCTTTATACAAAGTACTTTTTTTACGGAGTATTTTATATATACTCCTTAGTTAACTAGATAGAAAATTTATTTTGTGAACATTTAAATTTTTATTAGTGTGCAATATTTAAACACAATAAATCGTTATTAAGCACATTGCTACCTTCAATTTAATGATCAATTCATCTTCGTTACCTAAAGATTTTAGATGAGAACGTCACTCAAAACAGTGTAGACAAAAGCAAATTAACGCCAAATAGCTCCAGTGTACCCTGTGTTTTGAAAAGTTATTTTTAAAGTTCTCGTGGTTTCAAAATGTTGCATCCACACTCCATCTGACATTTTAGGGTCATTTTCCGACAAAGAGAGGCCATTGGCGCCTAATTTCTAAATCATATGCGGCACTCGTGCTCATTTCTTATTTTTCGCTTATTATTTGGGTTCCTCCTGTTTTAGTTTTTTATCTCTTTGTTTCTTTTTCCTACAATTTTTATTAAAATTTCTTTTCAATTTTTATAATATTTTAAAAAATTAAAAATTCTGTGTTAGAAATAAAAAAAATAACATAAGCAACATCTATCTCAAATTAAACATTTTCACTTTTTGTTTTTAAAATAATTTTTTGAAAAGTTCAAAAAGAAAATCAGGAAAATAAATAAAAATATAGAAAAACGAAACGAAAAAAATTAAAATATGCAAACTTATTTTGCAGCTCAAGGCCTAAACCCAATCCATGCCCTATATGCCCCATTTTAACGTATACGGAATTACGGATATACGTAGTACTCCTTCTGTCTCAGAAAACACTTCTTATTTTGATTTTTTTCAGTCAAACAGTGATACCTTTTGACTACAAATTGTGAAAAAAATATATTGAATGATAATACTCCCTCCGTTCCTTAAAACTCTTTCTCTTTCATTTTTTTCCAATTCTCTAAAACACTTCCTTTTTATATTAAAACCACTTTTACCCCTATTTTTTCATACCCTACCTATCACATCATACTTTTTCTCTAATAACCAAACTATCACATCTTACTTTTACCGATCACATCAGGGGAAAAATTGGAAAGTAAACCAAAATTACACTTTTCTTATTTTGGCCCAAAGTCAGAACATGAACCTTTTAAGAGAACGGAGGGAGTATAAATTTAATATAATTAGATTCATCTTATGATATAGTTTTGATATATCAATTTTTTATAATATTTCTTTATTTAGGTTATGTTTAATTTATGGTAAAAAAATGTCGCTGATATATCAAATTTTTATAACAATTAAGGATATTATATACTTCATCCGTCCCAGAAAGAGAGGGCATTTGACTAAAGTGACAAAATAAGAGAGGAATAATTTTGTGTTGACTTTCCAAAAATATCCTTGATGTGATGGTAAAAGTAGGATGTGATGTATAGATCATTTGGAAAAAGTTATGGTGTGATAGGTAGGGTATGAAAAAGTAAGAAGTAAAATAGTTTTTTTAATAAAAATGTGAAGGAGATTGTGGAACACTATTTTTTTTTTGAAACTTGAAGAACTTTTTGGAACGGATGAGAGTACCCTTAATTGTAACGACACCCCATATACATAGAGAGAGTAGTATTATAGTACCTGCCCTACATATATACCCTTGCGTGGGGCATCTATATATACTCACTCGTATAATGTAGTCTTACATGTTTTTTAGAATGAAGATGTAGTAGTGTATGTAGGGTGGGGTTATATTCAAATTAATTAATTAGGGAGTAATTCTAAAAAAAAAAAAGAGAGATTATTATTAGAGTAATAATGGGGAGGTGTTTAAAGGTGCTTCTTGTGGATGACGATTCTACCTGTCTGGTCATTGTTGGTGCCATGCTTAGGAAACTCCACTTTCAAGGTACGACGACCGATGCCTATCCCTAACTCGCAAACCCTAATTCAACCTTTTCTCGCGAGTTAATTCTTATTTTCTTCAATTTAATCTTTTTATTTATTGCTTGGTCCATCCCTGAGTGTTTGTCCACTTTTGACTTTTTGAACTGTTCATCTAAGCACTTTGACTCATCAAATTCTCTCAATGTGTAAGCCTAAAAATAGTCATGTGTGATCTTGTTTGATTCGTCTTAACATATAGATTATTAATATATAATTTTTATAATTTTTTAATATACAAATTACAAGATAAAATGGATTAAAGAAGTGCATTGGATGGTGTACAAAAATGAAAGTAGACAAACACTCTGGGACGGAGGGAGTATTTAATTTGTTTTTATTGAACCCACAGATCAATCAAATCAGACCATAATTATCTTTGAATATAATTACAATTAGATTAAAACTAAATTGAACTAGATCAGAACCAATCAGATAAATTGAAGAGAACAAGCTTTTATTAGGCATAATGTATGATTAAATTTAATTAATCAAATCAGATCATAATTATCTTTGAATATAATTACAATTAGATTAGAACTAAATTGAACTAGATCAGAACCAATCAGATAAATTGAAAAGAACAAGCTTTTATTAGGCATAATATATGATTAAATTTAATTGTATTCAACTAAAATTATTTGAAAACTGCTAATATGAAATTTTAAAAAATGAGTCATATATAAAAATGAGTTAATTTTTTTTAAATCCCTGTGAAATGAGTGGTTTTTATTTTTAGTCCATCTAAAATATTTTTTTAGAAAATCATCCCTTTAAAATATTTGTTTTTGAAAATGGTCCTCCTACATACTTAGAGATGATATATCTATCAGGGTTTAAAGGACCAAAAACAAAATTTCTAATTTTCTAGGGACTAAAAACAAATTCTACATTAACTCTAAAGTTAAAATAAATAGTTAAAGAATAATTTAAAAAATAAATTATTTTATAGAGGGATGACTTAATAAAAATATATTTTAGAAGGATAAATTCACTTATTTTACACGGGCCAAAAACATATTTAACCGAAATTATATTAAAAATAGTGCAAATTGTGTTGTGGTATACTATGTAGTCTTTAAAGATAATCTCTAGAAAAGAGAACATATCATTGCAAGATCGGTTTTTTGGAGTACCAATTTCACACAACTCACATACCAAAATAAAATAGTTAACTTTTAAAAATTAAATAACTTTTTTTTCTTTAATTTAACACTCATTTTTTTCAGAAATATTTTAATGCTCATTTGATACGGAGTAATATGAACCCAGATTATATTATAATGTCACCTCTTATTTTTTAGATTGCTTGATGTAATTTTGAAATCTATAATTTTATTTTTTAAATATTACCCGATTTAATTTTCTACGGAGTATATAAAGGCCCCGTTTGGTACACGGAATTCAAACTATGGAATTGGAATTGAGGACTTCAATTTCAATTCTCGTGTTTGGTAGCACAAAAATTATGTGGATTTGGAATTGGTAGTGCAAAAAATGAATTGGAATTGGTGAGTTCAATTCTATGGAATTTTAATTTCAATTCAATTCTAATTCCATTAATTCCTTGTACCAAACAGACCCAAATTAAACAAAAAATTCATTCAGTCAACCATGGTCATGCCTATGGGCTATTCTTTGTGAGAAGAAGAAAGTATTTAACAACATACCAACCATAAGCACTTAGGTTGCTCCGACATCCCAAAGTTATCTTTCATTTTGATTTATGATGTTTAATTGAACTAGTTACAATTTAATATTGTTAGTTTAACAATACTTGAAGTTAAAATTTATGTATTTAAGGACTAAATATTTTTTTATACAAAATAAGATATAAGCCGATCGAGCAAATACGATTATGGAGGGAGTATTTAATTTTGTAAATTGAAAATAAATATAGTGAAATTTGCACGAAATATTACTAAAGCTTTTTTTATTCCCGAAATAGTATTTGAATAATGTTTACTGGCGGGAACAATGTCCAGTAATGTAGGACATTTAGTTTGAACAATGTCACTGGGGGTGTACATTTATTTGAAGAATGACCAATGGACATTGAACAACGATACTACATTAGGAAATAAAGAGATACAGTACAATATTACATTGGGAAAACTACTATTCCCTCCGTTCCATAAAATCCTTTCACTTTCGTTTTTTTGAATTCCCTAAAACACTTCCACTTTCTATTAAAAAACCATTTTTACCCTTATTTTTTCATACTCTACCTATCACATCATACTTTGTCACTAATAACAAAACTATCACATCTTACTTTTACCCATCACATCAGGTCCAAAATTGGAAAATCAATTAAAACACTTTCCTTATTTTTGACCAAAATCAAAGTTGGAAGGGTTTAAATAAACGGAGAGAGTATGTTTTAGTACGGAGTACTATTTAAATACATTTACATGCAGTTGAGACAGCAAAAAGCCCACAGGATGCATTGGGTACCCTACGAGCGAAGGGCGGGTTTGGATTCGATCTGGTCATTTCGGACGTCCACATGCCCGACATCAATGGCTTCGAGTTGCAAATGATGATCTCCAATGAATTCAACCTCCTTCCCGTTGTTTGTACGTGACGCCACACTTTCATATATTTTCCATTTCTTCTTCTTCTTTTTAAACTAGAACATATAAACCAAGTTATAATTCTAATAAAATTTATCTACTAAATTTTTGAGTTATAAAGTTAGTTGACGGGAGGGTAATTAATAACCCTATGTATTAATTTTTGTGTCAACTAACATGCTAACTTAGGATTTTAATTAGTAGATAATTAATTTCATACTCCTATAAAAGACGTACTATGGTCCGCATTTTCTAGTTATAAAGAGATTAGTTTGACTCAATCGAACTTACACCAAAATAACTCCATTGACTTGTGAATAATGCATTTACCTAATGATATACCTAATCTTAATAAGGGTATGTATTTTCATGTGCAGTGATGTCGGGAGACAACCACGAGGGCGTCGTGAGGCAGGGGATGCAGAACGGAGCTATTTCGTTCATCGAGAAACCCGTGTCTGCAAACGCCCTGACGTGTCTCTGGAGGTTCCTAACCTCGCAAGGGAAGGGCGAAGTCAGGTGCAGTGCCATGGAGGTGCCAGTGGAGATCATCAGTTCTCCACCTGCAGCCGCCGTGCCGCCAGGATGTCCGCGGGGACATGGACGGACGGCAGCTGGCAGTCGTGGTGGCGGTTCTGAACCCGGAGTGGCGGTGAAGAAGAAGATGGTGTGGACGGACCCACTCCACTTCAAGTTCTTGGATGCCGTCAATACTCTTGGCATTGAGAGTACGTGACACAATCATACCCTACATCAATGTCCAATATATAGCAAAAGGAGGCCTTAGCTTTAGGGTTGACGATGAACCAAAGTGTTGGGATTTTAAGCGCGTAAGATATCGAAAAATGTTGAGAACACCAGAAAAATGAGAGAACAAAGACAAGGAGAATATATGAGAGAAAAATTATATCTTCACTATTTCAGAGCTTTGATTGTTCCTTCCCGGGTAAGAACACTTTTTACCCGTTGTTGCCACAGAGTAAAATCGCCACGTCCGTCGAAAGGTTCGACGGAAACATTCGAACTTTTTACCGATGCCATTTTTCAAGTTCTCGACTTTCTTCTCTTACCGCTTAGAAATCCCTCCGCCCCAAATTTAACTTGGCTCTGATACCAATTGTTGGGATTTTAAGCGCGTAAGATACCGAAAAATGTTGAGAACACCAGAAAAATGAGAGAACAAAGACAAGGAGAATATATGAGAGAAAAATTATATCTTCACTATTTCAGAATGATACACAAAAAACTCTCTCTGTTTACAAGTGCTAAATACCAGACACTTATAAACAGACTTTTCACACCCTACACCCGGATGTATTTTCCGAATAACTAAAAACCAGTTACTCCCCACACTCACTCACACAATATTGGTGATATCTTGTGTAGCACCTCTCTCTTCACACCCTTTCCCTCTCCTTCTTAACCGTGTGTACCATGCATGGCTTTTAAATAGCCAAAAACATATTGGTGGGGAATATTCTAGCTCACACCTCCAAGAGAAAGAAAACAAAACTCCTAAAGGCTATCCTGCAACTCACTTCACTCACTTCTTGGTTGTTTCCACCAAGCTACACCTTTTTTTTTTTTTTGCTTTTTTTTTGTTTCAATTATTTAATCAAAAATATCTCAACACAAAGCATGCATGAGGCCAACGCTCTCAAGGCATGCATAGTACGTACGTAGAACCAGAATCCAGAAGTCTTAACCAAGGCATGCAGGCCAGAATCAAAAGTCAAGCCACTAAGACGTACTAGAATAAAAAAACTGAGCCCAACAAGAACCAAAACCATGCCATTGGGACCAGAATAAAAAACTAAGGCATGCAGAAGTCACGCCTTGCACTGTAAGGCACACACCTACCCAAGTCAAAGCAAAGTCATAGTGGCTTTAGGCACACAAAGTCATATATTTCTATACCAATCTATAACTAAAATGAACTGAGAAAAACATAGAATTTACTTTGTTTTGTATAAAGTTTAATTCATTTAAGAAAGGAGACAGTATTTTTTTTCATATTTAGCGATTAAAATTAATTTTAAAATCTTGATGAGGAGGAAAGAGTCAATTGAGATTTAGTAACGTAAAGTAGTTGCATGTGCAGATGCTGTGCCGAAGAATATACTGAAGGCCATGAATGTGAAAGGATTGACAAGGGAGAATGTGGCTAGTCACTTGCAGGTACCATACCTACCTTTTCTTCTCTTCCATTCTCACCCCTGCATATTAGTGTGGTTCTAAATAGGATTCTAAAACAAACAATGGAATACTCGAATATTATGAAATTTTATTTGTATTTGAAAAATAATACGGAGTATTATTATTTGTATTCATGCTTGTTTTCTATTCGAATAATTATTGTTGTTTGTATTCAATTTGATATTAAATTCAAATGTGTGGTTCAATTTGATATAAAATACAAATTTTGAATTTTTTTAAAGTTTTATAGCTTCAAAAATTATTAGCTCACACATTAATCATATACTTCATCTGTTCACCAAAATCGTTCTTATTTTGACCAATGAGAGAAATAAGAGTGTATGTTTGTAGTTGATTTTTCAATTTTACTTTTAATGTGATGAGTAAAAGTAAGATGTGATGAATATGTTAATAGTGAAAAATATGATATAGTAGGTAGGATAGAAATTAATTAGTAGAGATAAAAGTGTTTTTTAATAGAAAGTATAAAAGTTTTGGTGGAAAAAAAAGAAGTGTTTTAGTTAACAAAGGGAGTGTTTTGTACTAAAAATGGAATGTCCAAAATAACTACAATAGCCTTGTTAGATCCCACAAGAGAATGGCCTGCAAAAGATGTGTATACACGCAAACATTGCCCTTGTATATTATGTTCTATATTTATTAAGGAGTATGTACTCTCAATATTATGGTCTTATATATTACTCTTTACATCCCAAAAAACTCTTCTCCTTTACTTTTTCATCCGTCCCAAAAAAAATTCTTCCTTTTCTCTATTAAAAAGTTACTTTTACTCATAATAATTTTAACCTACTTATCACAACACACTTTTTCTCTATTAATCTACTCATCACATCCTACTTTATCCATCACATCAAAGGACATTTTTGGAAAGTCAATACCAAAATACATTCCCCTTAAATCCTTTAAAAGTCAAAATGAGAAGTTTTTTACGGGAGGGAGTATGAAGTATGTAAATTAGGTATGAATTTTTATAGGGTATTTAAATTCGAATACATTTGTTATTATTCCAAATCAAATACATATACATTTGTATTCATATTCATTTTCTTTCGAATTCTAAATATATTTATATGTAAATGTGTAGGATGCTTAAATTTACTAGTGTCAAATGTCAATGTGCCATATTATGATGAATGTTAATACTAAAATCACAAATAAAATACTCACAAATATATAAACTTATCATTAGTATATTTAAATTTTTATTTTTAACGTATTTGAGATTATTCTTTGAAATCATTATTTTATATATTCGATAAATTTGTCATTTTGTAAATGTTTTGTTTATGACCCTAATATTACTATTCAAATTTGTCACTCAACATTTTGATGCGTAAAATGTGCAGAAATATCGGCAATTCCTCAGGCGGAACATTCAAGAACTCCAAAACGGCTTGTTGTCCGGCGCCGGCTACCAGCCAAGATTTGCCCCCAAAAGGGTCAGCAGATTCGCCAAGCTCGAACAGCTCTTCACCCACGCCCAACTCGAGGCCGCCTCCGCCGCCGTCTCGCCGTCTCCGTCCGCCGGGAACACTTCATGTGCGGCGCCTCCTCTGTCAAGCCACGACGAATCACTCTTCTACCGGGGCTGGACCAGAGACCCCATCGCCGGAAACGCCAATTCCCATTACCCCTCGCCGGAGACGTTTTTCCCCAACGGATCCGGCGAATACGAATCATCGTCTTCATGCTTCGGGAACTTTAGCGTTGTTCCGGGAAACGTGGAACAGAGTCAAAACATGGCGGCGGCTGCCGGGTGTTATTATGATAGCGTTCTCCCCGAGAACGATGATCTTCTTTCCGGCGTCTTAAACTTCATCGGAGAATCCGAAGACGTCGGCGACGGGGAAGGGTACAGCTCGACGTGCTCGTATTCAACGCCGCCGCAGTACTTGGTGCCGCAGTTCGGTGAGAGCGACATGATGCAGGTTTCGCCGCAGCAAGATTTTCCGATGGATTTCCCGGCGGCTTTCGGAGGCTGGGGCGAAAATTATGTTACTTATGCGGCGGCGCAAAATCCAATCTGCGAGTTCTCCATGCAGAACATGACTGATAATAATTCAGGGGGCTATCAATTTAATCTATACTATCCCAATAACTATCAGGTGAGTATCATTTTTTTCTTCTGATTTGGTGTGATATATCATTTGTCCGGTTTTACTTTTACTTTTTTCAAATAAAATTAGATGAATTTTGTGTTTCATTAAAATAAAAATGACAATACACATTACCTTAAAATTAATTTTATTTTATTGAGAAATTTTAAAATTTTGTTTCATTACATCAAATTGAATATAATACAAATTGGAAGTAATTAAAGTTCGTCTTGTTTTATTAAGTCAAAATGGATTAATACACTGTAACGAAGATACTAAAACTTTATGATATGATCTCAATCTTATGATTCCAACTAAAATTAAAATTCCATTTTGTGATAAAATAACTAAGATTAGATTCATCTTGTAAAATAATGGCAAAATAAAGTATTTTTTTCTAATTAATATATCATATAATTTTTGTTTAATTATAGGTCAAAAGTTCTATAAAATAAGAGATGACAAAAACATTTTATTTTATCAAATAATCAATAAAAACATGTATACAAACATAATTTATCTGTAAAAGCAAGTGAGAAGATGAATTCCTGAGGGAGAGAGTAAGATATTGATGTCACCTTGTTTTTTTTAAATTTTTATCTTTTTTATGTAATATTTAAATATTCTCATCATCTCTAATTAGATTACACAACTCGAAGAACGTGTAATGCTCTGTACTTATAAAATTTACTCCGTAGTTTATTTATCAATTGGTATAGAAATAAAAAAAATTGTAACTTACATATTTAAAAAAAAAATCACATCAAAAGTTTCCTAAACATAAGCGGTGATAAAAATATTGTACTTTACCAAATGGTCACAAAAAATATGAAAACAAATACTCCTTCTGTCCCAAAAAGATTTACACCTTTCAAAAAAATTGCGTCACACAATCTCCTACCCATTTCTATTAAAAAACCACTTTTACCCCTTACTTTTTCAAACTCTACCTATCACATCATACCTTTTTTCTAATAATCTACACATCACATCCTACTTTTACCCATCACATCAAGGGTATTTTTGGAAAGTCAACACAAAATTATCCCTCCCTTAATTTCAACTTTAGTCAAAACGTGTAAATCTTTTTGGGACGGAGGTAGTAAAAGTTATCAAGTTGTCAGAATAATAACGGTGTAACCTATTTTGAGGTGGATGAAGCATACACTTTTTTTATTTTCTACAACAATTTTAAAATAAGTTAGATTAAAAAAAATCAATCCAACATTGTAAATAGAATTATGTCTTTTATTATGGGACTGGGATAATAATTGTTACTCATCTGAAATTGATGCATGCAGCAAGTTGGGAATGAAGAAGCATTGATGATGCAGAAGTATAATCCTGAGGAGGGTGTTGGGTTTGACCAGTGGTATGACTATTCTCAATGGCTCACTCAGCCTTTTCTGCAGGTCCGTTCATCCCTACCTACTCGTGCTAATGTATTTGTCCAGTTTGATTTTTTAGAAGTAAACAGTATAAACTTTGAGCTTCAATTAAATAAATAATGTATTTTAACATAAAAATGATTTTATTAAATTTATCTTATTGATAACTTTCAAAATACATTTCAGTATACTAATACTGTATGTCATACAAACTTAGAGTAATTGAAGCTCGAAGTTGTCCATTTTGACTCAAAAAAATCAAATTAGACAAATATACTGGGATAGAAATAACATATCTTTTCATTATACAGACCCCTCTTTGGATAAAGTTTTAGAAAAAATATATATAAAGAGTGAAAATTCTAAGGAGAAAAATAAATATATTTTCTCTCCCTTGGAAGTAATAGAGAGGAAATAAAATACTCTTTATTCTAAGGATAAATTGAATGAATGTTGATATAATTATTATTCAGGAAGAAGCAATAATGGAAGGAGAGAGGTATGAAAGCAGGCAACAACTCCTCCAAACATCTCACCAAAATTTCAGCCCCCAGCACTACTACTCAAAAACATCCCACCAGGCATTTAACATCTCCCTCATCTTCTTCTTAATCATTCCCCATTCATTATTATTAGCATAATTATTCATTATCTTGGATTGAATTAGGATTATATTTTCTAAATTCATCTAATGATTTGGTCTTAAGTTAATTACTCTTTGGTCGAACAGCGCGACAACGAAGATGACGCCTTTGTGCAATCTATCTTCGCTGCAAACCCATATGGAGTGGGAGCTGCGGCCAATGCTCAAGCCTTCTTCTGATAGATCTCATTTGTTTGCTTGTTTGTTTGTTTGAGAAAGAGATTGCCAATATTAATGCTGGACATGTAAATATTTAATTTGGATTATGTGTAAATTATTTGCAAGGTAATTACTATGTCTGCTAAAAACAAATGGTACTATAAGAGAGTGGGTTCAGAAGTTTAATCTCGTGTCATTCACCAAAGTCTAGTATTATATTATGGCTAATTGAATTGATGATATGGCATGAATTGATGCATATATACATCATACTCCCACCATCATCCCATCAAGTTTTGGGACATGGGGTTTTTGGCATGCAAAAAATGAGAAAGAGTGAGATTATGGTTGTGTTCCGTTCGCCTGATCTGATGTTTTGAGAACCTGGTCTAATATGATATGTCCAAACGGATATGAATAAAAATTAGAAAATGTGGGATTAGGTATGCAGTTGATAACTACTTATATGTAAAGTATGGAACATAGATGAGGGTGATTTTGGACCATGCAAATATGACAATGGAATGAGAAAACTACAGTGGATCATGTAAAATGACACAAAAATATGGGAAATAGACACAAAATTATGAAACAAATGGAGTGGCATATTTTTATAATTGTTTCCATGAATTCCATCCAACACTTCACACTCTAATCCCAAACTCCCCAATTCCCACAAGGCAAATTTTTCACCAAGCAAAGGGTTTTATTGTTTTCATGAATTCCCCTTATCAACAACACTGACCTCCAAACTCCCAATTCCCACACACCAAACATCATAAAAAAAACTATGTTGGATCATGGTTAGGAAATCCCAAGTGTGATCCTAACTCTCAACTCACCTTCTCTCACACACTGACATTGTTCTGTGTGCATGTCTGTGACAAGAGTGGGAAGTGGGAACACAATGAGTTCCATAGAGTTGACTTACTTTGACTTTGGGAACACAAACTCAGATCCCATTGTTGGTTTAAACAATGCATGTATGCAACTAAAGGAATCCCTCCACGCCTCTTCCTGCCTGAACGTCGCGATAAATACTGAGAGCTTCTTCCATGACCTCAGCCCTAGACAGCAACTGAGCTCTCTTCTTACCAGAAGGATGCGTGGACAAGTAGTCTTGCAGAGCCGATTGGCCTCCAATTTTCCCCAACTTCTCATACACCTTTGGGGCTTCCCTTGGGTCATATCCAGCCGATGCCATTAGTAGGAGTCCTATATAGTCTGCTTCCATCTCCATCCTGATACAAGAGGAGGGTCACATGTTATTTATCCCCTTGAGAATCAATGAGAGGAGGATGAAGAAGAAAGAGAGTGGTGGTGCATGTACCTTCTTGTGAAGGGAAGGTTTAAGAAAAGAGTAGACATAGTGTTAACCACATCGGGCACCACAAACTGGTAGAGAACCAACTGTATTATGGCAATCCACAGCCGTTTTGATATTTCTTCAGCTGAATGCCTAGCCACCGCATGCCCAACCTATTCAACAATTACAACTAGTTTCAATACTAAACCAGAGTTCGATGAGCATGTCCGATTTTTTTGAATGAGTTACAGAGTGACAAAGGGGAAAAAATGTAAATAACAATATAAACTTACTGGACCTAACACGAAAACAAAAAAAAAGATGAATAAACCTATTCAAGCCTTATTTATAATCCTTATGTCCTAATATAATGTTCATTATTTTGATTTTTCTACTTGTCACACATTAACTTCACAAAGAATTGTGACTAACATATTTTACTTTCTTGTTTGAGTAAATTTTAAGGAGAACTTGACTTCACTCTCAATAGAAGTGCACCCAAACTTTGAATTGTACTTCGAGACAAATATATGTTTTACTATTCGTGTGATCGTGTCATATACCATCTTACCATATGAATTACTCATTTGTCCCATTCTATAAGTCCACCTTTCTTAGTTTAGTGTGAATCTCAGATATGTCAACTTTCATTTTTCTCAATTCTATTGAATGTATATTTTTTCCTCAAATTCTGCTATTTATGTGACATGTTAACTTGTTTACACAACTTTCTTGCGAAAAAAAGACCACGTTTTTAACGATAAATTGGAAAATAAAACAATACCATTTATTTCTTTGATAACCATCCAAAATACAATTGAGACCGATAAAATGTTGGTAAGGAGCAACAGAGAAACAAAAAACTAATGAGACAGCAGTGTATATAACATATTAATGATACCTCATGGCCAATAATGGCAGCAAGCTCAGCATCAGACTTGAAATGCTTGAACAAACCAGTGAAGACGACAATCTTTCCGCCGGGCAAACAGAAAGCATTAACCATAGGGTCATTAACCACCAAAACCTCCCAATTCAATCCCTCCAAATGCCCGGTGTAAGCTTCTTTACCATTCTCCTTCCCCTCCTTCCTACTCTTCTCAATCCATTTATCATCTAGCACCTCGTCCTCCCATTTATCACTCGAAGAAGAAGAAGAAGAATACGATGAAGAAGAAGGAGCCATTAATTTCTGCTGCTGCTGCTCCTTGGCAGTTCCATGACTCCCCTCCACACCCACCATTGACGTGTAGCGAAGATCACCCCAGCCCTGTTCTTTTCTCAACCCTCTCTGTAAGGCCCCAATTACATCATTGGCTATCAATTGTACCCTCACGCTCTCCGGGTGGATTGCAGGGAGAATTTTGTCTTTGAAACTCGCCTTTAGCTCTCTGAACTGCTTCTCTCCCAGCTCTTTCTCGAGAGTTCTGGATAAGAGCACGAAATGGGTGCGCTTCGTGTACGGTATCGTCTCCAAGTTCCCAAAGTAAACGGAGATCACGATTCCGGACCCCACCGCCAAGACTATGAACAGGTTCCTCGGATTCTGGAACCACTTGTCCGGTCCCCGGGGCCGGAAATGCTTGACCTGGCGCCGATCGACGTAGTACCATCTCCGGGGCTGAGAAAGAAATTGGGGTTTGTAGTGATTCGGCTGGAAAATGGATTGAGAAATTGGGTTCCTCGAAACGGGAGAGACGAAACGGGATGACCCGGATCCGAATTTGGTTCTGGAGATGGATTCAGACACTTGTCTTTTGGACGAAATCCTTGCCGCCGATGAGAGAACCGCATCGAGGACGAATCTTGATCTCCTGTACCATCCCATGGTACTGTGACCGAATGAGAAAATCGGATTCAGAGGCAGTGATTTCAGGAACGGGAATTGTAGATTGAGAGCAAAACTAAGGCCGGAAATTTGCGGGAAAAACAGAAATAGCTGAAATCGGAAATCGGTAAACGGAGAATATATTTAGAAGATGAAGAAGAAAAAGCACCTCAAGCACGAGGAAGACAATGGAGAATGGAAGCTCTGAACGGGAGGGAGTCTTTCGGTACAAGCCAGTCGCGCCGCCAATTATGTTTAGGCCTTTATTTTTGTTCACGATAAAAATTTTTGTTCCACATTATTATTATTTGGATTTTAAACAATCTAATACAATCTTTTAAAATCTTACCAAAAAATACAATAAAATCTATTTAAGTCGATGTAGAATTAAAACAATCCATGGATTTTGCATAATTCATAAATTTTATACGGAGTATAATCTTATACAATCTTTTAAAATCTAGATTGAATACATCCTTCTTAATTTCTTCTAATTTCATTCTATTCTTTTCAATTTCTTTTAGCTCTTTTAGTTTTTTTCAACTATTTTCATTTTCTTTAAATTTTTTCATTTTCTTTAAATTTTTTCTACTCATTTTCCAATTACTGAAAAACTCTGAGTCGCTCAAAACTTTTCTCTCCCCTCTACATCACTTTCAATCACATATTTTCAATTTTCTTAAATTTTGTGTCAAGTCCTTATTTTCTTTTTTGAAAAGTCCCAAAAAAACTTCATCTTTCATTTCCTTTACTCTTTTCTCTATATCATTTTCAATTGCATATTTTCACTTTTCTTAAATGTTGTATTAAGTCAAACAAGAAACTTTTTTTTGTGACGGAATTAGTATTTAGTAATTGTGACTTCACAATTTATACTCCATGGGTCAGTTCGCTTTGTTCTATCAAACCCCAAGTCAAAACATGGTGAATCTTTAGCTCCATTGGAAATTATGAAAAAAGAAAGAAGATGACTAAAACTGAATTTGTGTTTGAAGTCATTTTGGTAATTTTTCAATTTGAACATTTAATAAATTAATAAAAATTTTATGTTGGGAATAAACTGAGTTGTTATTGTTGTGTTGTTGGGAATAAAAAAACTTACTCTTTTTGAGGCAAAGTGAGTACATTTGAGTCCAACTTGGGTTAAATTTCTCATATTACACTTATTTTGTGCAAACTTCTTAAAAAAAAACATTTTGGGGAACAAACATTAAAAAAATCAATTCTTTTAACTACAAATTAAAAAAAAAGGTTCGTACAATTTCATTTGTGAAATTTTGTTCTTAAATATCTAATGTCATCTCCAGAATCCAAATGATGCATTTGTAAACCAATACTACATTGTAACAAAGTTTCAACCCAGATAACACACAAACAAAGACCTTCAATATGGCATTGCAACTCAATGTTATTTCTTAAATAATATACACTCCTCGTAGAATTATTCAACGACTTTTTGAGCGGAGAGTGGACATCAAAGCCAGCAACGATGTCACTGTTTCTTCAACAACAGAGGTCCAACGTTGTCCCCGGTAGCTTTGTTGTGCTTCACATGGCTCCCATCACACAACGGGAATGTCCCCGACTTCCAACACCTGCACCCACAACCCTCTGCTTAGAGCAATTGAACAAAAGATGGTGTCATATACACTAGTGCTTGAGTTCTCAACCTAAATGTTTATCTGATGCTCTTTTATGTCTCTATTCCCTTTCTTTTTTGGTCACGCTGTTTGTAGCGAGAGGCTAGACTGGAGTGTTTTTGGGCACATGAGGAGAAAACGTGCTGGTGGCTTGATGCCCTCCCTGTAAAGGGGTGTAAGGAAATGGAATAGATGAGAATATGATCTTAGATAAGTTTATCTGGAAATAAGGATTGATTCATGGAATGTTGCTTCACTGGTGAGGGGAAGAAACCGGATGTGGAAGTAAGGATTGATTCACACTCAAAATGCCAAAGAGAGACAAGTTTCGGTATTTTGATTCGGTCATTCAGGCAGGGAGATGAACATGGATGTTATTCTACGTATTGGAGCCACATGTGCAAAGTGGAAGCCGACTCCAAAGTGCTGCGCGACAAGAACATTTTGAAAAGGGTCAAAGGGAAGTTCTATCAACCCATAGTCACATCAGCCCGGCTATGCTTTATGGAGCAGAGTGCTAGGCAGTTCTGAAAAACAACGTTTGTTTGTTGCATACAACAAAGATAAGAATGCTACAATGAATGTGTGAACAAATGAAGTTGATAAAATCTGGAACAAGGTTATGAGGGGGCAAATGTGAGTGACATCTGTGGGAGATAAGCTGCAGGAAGCTAAATTTAGGTTGTTTGGATATGTAAAGTGGCATATCTTTGAGACACCAATACACAGATGTGAGAGGCTTGCAAGAGTAGGTGGATGGGGGGAGTAGACGATTGACCTAAGAATAATTGGAAAGAGGGGACTAAACATGATTCTAAGACTTTTGACCCCCTTACCGAGAATATGACCTTAGATTACGTGGAGATCTAGGAGTTGGGTGATTAGGCCTTAGTGGTAGTTTTTGCTTTTGCAATTGTGTACCTTTTATGCTTAGGGTTTACTCCGTAGTTGCTAACAACAGTTTGTATGCTTGTTTCGCCTTTTTGCGCTTTTCTTTATCCATAGCTTGCTAGTTCCTTTATTTTTTTTGTCGCGCTTTGTGCTTTTAGTGTTGCTCGAGCTAGATGTTTCTTAAAAAGAGGTAAAATCTACATATAGACCTTCTCTAGACCTTACTTTTGTGGGAGTCTGCCGGGTTGTTGTATAAGAAATACCTGAAAATCTAAGATTAGAGTAATTGCACTACCTATACCATACATCCAGAGGTTTATGTTTCACATACATCCGCTTGAATACTCATTTTCAAATAATTGAATACTCATTTTTTGAACAACTGAATACTCATTTAAATTTAGAAAAGAGAAATTTAGTTGCTCAAAAATGGATACTCTTGTTCGAAAATGAGTATTCAGTTGTTAGTTCGTAAATGAGTACTCATCACCTACAACAGTTCGTAGAGATTTTATATTTGAGATATGGCGGACAGTTTCACAAAGTCTTCCATGGAATAATATAATTCTAGTTGGGAAGTAATCCGAACAACAGTTTCAATTGCAAATGAAATCAAGCACAGCCAAAAATGGAACTTAAATGAAACAAGGGGCCAGGAAAATGACCTGCAGTAAGCAGTGAGTGGCTTAGCGAGTTCGGTGACGACGACGGAGTCCACGACTTTGTCTTCCGTCTTCCTGATGCCTGGATTTATTATACCTTCGGCTCTAACCGCCACCATCCGCCGCCGGGGATTTGTCGCCGTGAGCGGTGTTGCTTGACGAACGATCGGTGAGGCGTAACAGCAGCCGATGGTCGCCATGTTTGAGAAATCGAAGCGCTCTGTAGATGGATCTGACCTTCAGATACCCGATAGATGGAGAGAGCACTGAGCAGTGCGGATGGTATGTATCCAGAGATTTTGAAGAGCGTGTGGTAGTCACGCTACTAAAAAAAGTAATTATGGGCTTTGTCTATACTCTATACTCTAAACTACTCATATATCTTTCTTTCCGTTGTGCAAAACGAAAAAAAATCCCTAGTTTTTTTAATCTATTTTATTTAAATATTAGTATAGAAATAAAAAATAAAACATACATATTTAAAAACTACATCAAAAGTTCAACAAAACAAGTGGTGACAAGAATATTTTATTTTATCATATAGGCCATGAAAAAACACAAATAAATATAAATTCCCGTTGGAATAGTGCTTTGGGAAGAAAGTTTTAAGACGGAGGGAGTAATTAAAAAAACCTTCAATTATTTATGAAAGTCATACTTATGTAATGTAAATTTTGTTTGCGAATTTAAAAAATAATTTTAAAAAACAAAATCTTTTTTATGTAAACATAAATATGTATAATTCATCTAAAAATTATTAGCATCCTCAAAATTTAGTAATATTTCCTAATTATAAATAAACATGCTACGATATATCTTTATTTTATTTTCAATTATTTTAATCAACTAAATATAAGTTTAAAATGGTAAAATAATACGAACTACGGAGTATATAAAAATTTTTACAGGAATAATTATAGGTTCATTAAGGGGGCCATTGACCCAGTTCAACCCAGTTTGACCGATTAATCCTTGACCCACTTGCTTTGCCAGTTCGATGTCCGGTCCAGTTTTCAAAACATTAATTCGTAGTTGGCGTGCCCGACATGGTCATTCCCACCGTCCCAAACGTCTTCCTTTCTTCCCTCTTTCTCCTTCCCCACCCACACCTCTTCTCTCACCATCACTCTTTTGTGGCTCTCATTTGTGAGGTGATTGTCGGGATCATCCTTACTCACACCCAATAGCATAACATTTTCAGTTTTCTCCGCCAAATCAATGACCAATTTAGGATGTAAATTAAACTATTTTACATTTCATATTAAAATTTGTGTCAAGCCATCTAGAAAGAAATTATTTTTTAAAAAAATTAAAAATATAACTCTTTGAGAAATCAAGAATAGTGAGTATATGTTTAAAAATTAAAAAGAGAAAATAAATGTATTTCATCCATCTCACTTAATTTATTTATTTATTATTCAAATGGTCAATTTTTAACTACATACTTCATCCATTTGTGCTACCAATTTGAAATATTTATTTATTTTTAATTTTATAACAATTTTTTTAGTAATTAACAATATGTCCATAAAGAGTAACGTAGTAGAATGGGCATTTGGCAGAAACGGAAACTCCAAACTCACATTAATTACTTCCGAGAGAGAGTGATTCAAATTTGCTCAATTTTTAATCACCGATCAAATTCTGACGAACCCTTCGCGCCGCTCCGCCCCGCCCAGATCAACATCACACTTCGCCGGGAGCCGCCGCCGCCACTCTCCGATCTGTTTGTACAAATCATCGTGAAAACAAGCTTGATTTTCGTCTCGGTATTGTGTCAGTTTTCGCTTATCCTCTCGCTCTACAATGGCGAGGGTTGCCGGAGGGAAGAATTCCCCAATTCGCGGTTTGCTTCTGCTGATTGCGATCGCTTCCTGCGGAAACGTAGCTTTTGCGGCGAGATCTGAGAAGGAAACGAGGGAGCGGTTTTACGGGAATTTAGTTAACTCGTCTGCGCCGGAGAATGGAGAAGGCAGCATCGCTAAAATGTTTGGCCGTGTCCTCGATAAAGAGTTTTCGGAGAACGATCAGCCTGAAGGTTAGGTTTTCTTGTTCCTGCGTTTCAGTAGCTTCGTTGCAATTGTTTTATTCAAGCTGTTGCAATGCTTCTTCCATGTGATTGTGCCACGTTCTTGTTTTGATCTTTCTCTGCGTTTCCAACACAGACCTAACTACAAGGCCAAACTCAAACCAATAATAGGGC